ATACCTGAGTACCTGATTCTCCGACAAGATCTACACGTTGGTAGCCCTGCGCCTTCGCTAGGACGATTCCTCGATCATGAATGACCTACGGGACATTCACGTCACTCTAATAATGACCGTGTATTACCTAACTGACCCCGGGATCGGATCACAAGCCGCGTATGGTCGCGTTACTATTAATACGGGACTGTCTTGGGTCACGTTACGTAGGATCAAAATAAAAAAAAAATAATAACAATAATTCGCTCATTGCTCGATTCTCACAAGAGAGTCAAAGACCGAGAGAGAGAGAGAGACGAGGGTACCGAGGAATTTATAAGAGGTTAGGAAATGGAGAAACGGCCAAGGAAAAGCAGCAAGGAGTGTTCCGAGTGGTTACGACGACGGTAGGCGAGGTCACGTGGGTCAAGCCGATATAAAGATACAGCCCGTCAAGGGGTAACGTTACCAAAGGCGACCCAAAGAAATCGGATGGAGGCGTCGTGACGTGGTACGTTAAGAATCGAAGGTGGGGAGGGAGGGGCTGCGACCAGATACTTATCGGCAGATCGATTTACACGTAGCCCCAAGACGGAGACCTGGCTCGCGTCCGATGACGTTTAGCGACGTCGTTCCAGCCAATCTCGAATCCCATTGGTTGCCGGGCGCGATTTAAATCAAACGATCGGACAGATTTATAAACGTTACCGAGCCGCGAATCACGTGATTCATTAATTACCGGAAACGTGACCCAATCCCGAAGAGACACACAATGCCGTCGCGACGTCGCCGCAGTACGGTAGGATCGCGTATCACGAGGCATCACGGCTCCCTGAGCCTATCTCACTTTCTCCAGATTCTATTTTCACGCCGCAGACCGGACGGCGACGACTTTGGTGCCGAATTGTCGGCCATTTTATTTATCGTGGAAGCACTGCCTTTCTTTTATTGTTATACAATTTTGTGGCTCTGTATTATACGTAATATCTACCGGCTCGATCAGCTGACTTCAGCTCGGTAGTTGGGTCCGAGCGGGGTCCTTGATTTCGATTGGCTGAGCCGGTTCCAGGAGAAATAACTCACCGGAAGATCGCCAATGGTGGGTGTGGCCGTGTCGAAGGGCTTGATGCACCGTGTACCGTGGGCTCAAGGTACGTTCTCACTGTCGCGAAAAAAAAAAGTATCACAGCTGCTTCTACCACGTGAAAGACCGATTTGATTCCGTACACGATACAAGAGGCAGATGGGACTCCGAGGGGCCTGATAGTCGTCTTTGCTGTCTATACTTCGCCGTCTTGTTGTCGATATAAACACGACCCAGAGTGCATCGCGATGATCGCCGTTATATATTTATTTCCCTCGTGTCTTTCGCGCTTCTTTCGCGTACTTTAACGGGGCCGTAGTTATTGCCAACGTCATATCTCCGTGTCTACGACTGACGATGCAATCCCGGATACACGCGTTATACCGATCCTATACAGATATACATATATCCATATACATTTACGGTTTTCTCGTAACGACAATTTGAGGTTATGAATTTTCAACGGTCAATGACGAAAACGCCAATGCGCATGCGCGCACTAAGTGTATAAGGGGTTGACCGAACGAGGCAATTTACGAAATGGTATTTCGGAGAAACTTTATCCTCAATTTTCGCCGAGGGGATCGAAACCACCCTTACGCCAGGGTATTATCGGCAGATCCTCTATCGCGATACAAAACCAACCCCCTTATATACCGTCGGTCTACCCTTGGTTTCTCCTAGTAGCGGAAAACGGGCGTATATCTTTTTTTTTAGGTTTGGCTCCTCGTAACCGAAAATCATCCCCTAATTTTTCCATAGATATTGATCTTCGGTATGGGGATGAAGCGTTTCCAAAAACATCCCTACTCGTAAGACTTCGCGAGAAGGGTGGTTAAAAAAAATTTATCATCCCCACGTACGAAATGGTTGAAGAAATTTTTGCAATTTCAACCCCCCCTTCATCCCCCTTATAACGGTTATTAAATCTTTATGCGGTTTTAACGCATTCCTCGTCTCAGGATTCGCGTCCAGCATACGCTCCTCTCGCAGTACCATTCGTCCGGTGTCGTTAAACGTTCACGACCGACGGATAGAAAATCTTCAGGATTTTCCGGTATGCGACTTAACGTGCGGCTGAAACGCATTGCCGCTCTTTTTCCCTGCGCCGCGATTCCCGCATAAGTCGGGACTCGTACACACGGATGGCATCAAACTGTCATTATTCATCCGACATGCCAGACCTCACGCGACGCTTCAGTTTCACTGGCGGAGATCGGAATTAATTGGGGACGGCCCTGTACTTCGCATAGCCAAGCCAGGTTTAACGTGGGGAAACTTCCACGTGACTGAAGTTAACCTATCCCGATAAAAGGTATACGGATTAGGTGATATAATTAAAAAAAAAATGTAACTCATGTATTTAAAATATAAATTGTAAATTTTTTAAAATTTTATCAACCCCATACAAAATTAAGGGTTTATTTTTTGGTTGAAAAATTTTTTTAAGCCGTGAAAGTACTAATACGGTAACCCCCGGAGTCACGTGCAAGGGCATATACGGAGTGTCTTGATACTTGCATGAAATATATTGACCTCTCACCCTCGTTTCCACTGGCCTCGGTATCATTAATACACTTCGCCCGTGCAGCTGGGAACTCTATGCTTGGCTAAAGAGCCATAAGGAATGACTATTTGCTACTGTCGTTCTTATCTTTAACGACTGACTACACGTACATATATACAGCTGGGTATCCTTAACGTCCCAGAAGATGGCGCGCAGGCGGGGAAGAGGTAACGATGGTATTGATGCAATCGGAATTGAATAAATGTTATGGATACAGAGAATGGACGTGAGACATAAAAAGGGATCGATTTTGTGTTTTCATTAATCAAGTCCACTTACGCACCTAACCTGACCTTTAAATATATATACAGGTATAGCAAGCGTGAAAGCGGCCCTTTGACAAGGAAAGCCGTCATCCCGAATTAAGATGAAAGTGGCAGCGACGACGTATCAGAAAAGGTCCAATAAAGCTACATCGAATACCCGTTATAGTCGGATCGTATTACCCGGACACCCGGTAAATGACGAATGCACGGGCGCTGCACGCGATAAACGTCGCGTACATGGAAAATTAGCTGCAGCATGCGAAAGTCCCATGAGCAACCCCTGACTAGGGTAAAGTTGAATCCGAGGAAAAAAAAATTTTAAGAACGTTTTTGAAAATAATTTTTTTTTTTTCGAAATTTTTTGCATATCTCGTCGTGCCAAGTGCTTTCGATAAGGTTTGATCGGGCGATCTTACGCCGGGGAAAAAAAGATATTTCTTGGGTTACTTCCTGAAGGAAGCAGGAAGACGCGGCAGCAGATCTGGATCCTCGCGATGAATTACCATTGGTCGTCCCAGTCCTAACGTTAAGTGTATCTGCGAAACGCGTTAAACCGTCATTACTACCAATTACAATAAATCCCCGAGGTTTCTGCTTATCATTTTCCAGCGTGGATAGAGGAGTGGCCTAATCTATAATCTGACGTTAGGTCGATGGTAACGCTCTTAAAAGGCTGAAAGGCGTGCTGCAATAATTTTCCAGAGCTACACTTTCTCGACTGATGATCGGGTAGCGTTTCAGCGGTGATCGTTCCTGTCAGCTCGATAGATTTACGCCACCCGGTATATGACAAGACCACAAGCGCGTACCCACTGTACACCTCAGGTTATATATGTCGAGTTAACCAAACATAAAAAAGGAGTACGGTTAAGCTTCCGGTACTTTGATTATTAAAAATTTTTTAATCATTCCGGATCATTTTTCCAGATCGTTCGATCGTACAGAGCTGTCAAGCGCCAGTTGGATGGCGTAAGAAAATTCGTCGAGTTAACAAAACATAAAAAATACTACGGGTGAGCTTCCGGTACTTTGATTATTAAAAATTTTTTTAATCATTCCGGATCATTTTTCCAGACCATTCGATCCTGTACCCGTCAAGTGCCATTTTGACGGCGTAAAAAATTTTTCAAAAAAAAAAAGTCAGGTAAAATAAAAAAATTTAATTTTCTCAAAATAATTTATCTAGATCAATCCGGTCGATTTTGAATATTTGAAAAAAAAATTTTATATCCGAGGTCAGACATTGACCAATGGGTCATGAAAATGCATAGGGGAAACACTAGAGACTGGGCTAGATCGTATACCCAGGTGACTCTTGGGTCTTGAGGCCCTGTACCCTGGTCCAGATAGATCATGTCTGATATAATTAATGAGCACGACCTGCAATTCCCATACACACCTCTGGGCTTACGGGTCCGCCCTAACAAGTACCTCTGAGACTTAACCCAACCTCACCCGGCGAGTCAAGCAGCACAGTCCTCAGCTAAGCCAAACAACAATCTATTCCGTCTCGGGTCCGATATTATGTAGGTATCTGGGTGAGAGAAGTGATACGGGAGGCTGCGGAAGATCCTTACGTATAAAAGATTCCCAATTACCCTGAAAACCAGCTGCGCCAACAGCTGCCAGCGTAAGGCGCTGCTGTCCTACATAATGCGCGGCGGCGGCGGCGGCTAAACGACCAGCCAGACCTTTGCTAACGATATTACCCAGGAGAACATAGGAGCCATTCCACAGAGTAACTAATTCACGGACCTGGTGGCTATCAAGGTTATGGGGTCTCCTGTGCGTGCAATACATAACGTGCATATACGCAGAGCCAGGTACTGTACGCAGGAATGCGCGAGAGCCGATCAGTATCAAAAATTAAATATCTGGGAGAAATTGATTGGCAATTTCTTCGATACACCCACTTGATGTTCCAGTACTTGACATTCGGACTGCGAGACAAAGACAATCGTCTGTATTTCTTAGCTCGTGCGTATACGCTTGTACGTAGAACTACGACCGGGTCTAAAGTTTCGCTGTAGAGATCAGCGGATGCTGAACTGGTACATGGCTCCAGTACGAGGTACAGACTGATAAAAATTCCATATAGACTCACCCCAACTGCAACCGGGACGAACGAAGTATCCTGACTCAGGTTGTCCTTGTGATCGCCGGAAGTGAGCTCGACCTCCAGCTCATTGATGGCAGTGACCACTTCCGGTACCACCTCAGCAATGAGGGTATCACTGGAGTCGCACTTGTTTAAATTAGAGTCCTCGGCAAGCAGAGTCTCCAAAGATTCCTTGTTGATCTCCCCATCGACGGCATGCTGATGATCCTGGACCAGGTCAGTAGCATCCTCGTAGAGAGACATCTTGCTTCCCCTCTCGTACTCCTTCTGTACTTCCGTAACTGGTCCAGTCTGACCTACGTGTTCCTCGTCCTCCTTGGTAGTCGGTACCGCAGCGACTTCCGGTCGCGCAAGATCATCCTGCGACGGAGGCTCTACCCGTTGGCATTCGGCGCGCGAATTCTCATCCAGGTACCAGGAAGTAGAGTTCTCCTTGCGTCTCTCGACGCTGCCTTCCTCAGACCTGGACAAAGCGTCCTTGCACTTTCTGAGGTAGCTCTTGACCCTTTTGGTCTTGCTCTTGCGAGTCTCATGACTCCTAGGTAAATTGGGCTCGTACTCCGCAGTCTCCTGATGCGGATTCAGAGCGCAGTGGACCTCGAGGACCTTGTGTCTGGCATCCCTGACCTCCTCCGGGTCACAGCACACCGGGTCCGGACCCTCGGACGCTAGGGTCCACGTCTCATCCTTCTCGGGTCCTCGACGCTCGGCAGGTATAACCTAAAAAAAAATGTAATCCATAAGCATCTAAGTCAAAGAGAAAGACAGCATCACGAGGGCTTCGTCGGGTCAGCGAGACTCGAACGTCGTCCTGGACCAGCTCCTACGGCATCATCGGGATTAAGAGGAGTCGTTCGGGATCGACAGGCAACTTTCATCGTTTGAGAGGTCTGGGTTAGAAACGAGCAGATTGAATCTGCGATGAAGCGATACGAGGCGTGGGAGCGGAATACGGCTAATCTTAAAAGCGAGTGGCTCATTGGGAGCATGCACGGGTGCCGCCATCTTTATCTCCTTCTTTCGCTCTAAGCGTGAATACGTGTACCCACTATACCGCGGGATACCCTCGGAATGATCCAGCAAGTTCTCCCATATACACCTTTCTTTTCCAGTGTAAACCCAAGGATCTCCTATGAGGTTGCCAACACTTGCCCGTCTACCACCACCTCCTGCTACCACCACCCGCCCCGCCCAGCATCCATCCACTTGAACAAGGCTCAAGACGTCGAACACGAGGGAAAGTTCGCGCCTCATAAGCTTCTGTTGATTTTATATAAACGAAAAAAAAAAAACCAGAATACCAACTTCCGGTTGTAGATAAAAAAGATCAAATCCGAAGACTTGGCTGGTCAAGAGACCGATGTATATACGTAGCCAAGATATCGGAAGCGTGATCGAAAAATCGTGCCGACTACCTCAGCACCTAGACCAGCCAACCAGTGGATCTGGCAGACCAAGAACCTAACATAACACCCGGTACCAAGTAGTACCAGCACTGGCACAGTATATATCCTTCCTGAATAATGCGACTGTAGAGGCCCGAGGATAAATGGTCTACGGAGTCCTGAGCATCCTGAACGTCCTGATGGAGGTACTCCGTGGCCAATAGAGCGATACCCGGCGCTGAGCTGGAGGAACAAGCAGTGGTCCTATCTGGAGCTAGGTGTCCTTCCGACGTGCTACAGGCGATAAGGTACTGGCCGACGATGTTAATTAGCACCAGGTGTAATTTACGCCAGAGGATGTTGTCCAGGTGATCATTGAATTCACCAGGGTCCACGTATACCTATATACCATCGACTCCGACATCTTCTGTAAATCAGGATTGAGGGCTTGGGCTATCATGGCTAGTAACTTCGGATGTTATAAAAATCCTCGACAGGATCATCCTACGAGTTAGGGCTGGCCGAGTACCTCGTGGAAGATACTGACTTGTTAAATATTTCATGGAACCTCGGAACCTGGTGCCATCTTTGGCTTCCTCGTACACGTTCCTTGGTCAGCGAAGCGTGCCTCGATAGCATACACTTTATTATGGGCGCGAACGACTCGGAATTTACTGTGCGCGAATTCGACACGGCTTCGGAGACTTGGAAAATTCACGAGTCCTGGGACTTGGGTGGAGTAAATCCTTAAAAAAGAAATTTAATAACCAATTTTTTAGACGGTTACGAATTCGCGTCACCTTTTTTTTTTACATATTTAACCTTACTTGGCAGTCCATTCAAAACAATTTTTTTAATTGTTTTTTTTTTACAACTTTCCTTCGAATTGGTAAAATATTATTTTTGTTCAATAATCTTTTTATTCTTGATCCAATTTACGAACTGAAAGGACCTGCAGTACACGAGAGTGATTACTGAACCGTGAACGATTGGTGAAATCTGAACTGGAACATACCACGAAATTCAATGACGCTATATGTATATATATTATTTCGATTATCAGTAAGATAAGCCAAAGAGGATCTGTACGTATTTACAAGGGGCACTTCTATACATTAAGGTTAGGTAACTCATCCAGCAGCTCATCGATCCTCCGAACCCTCCTACTATAAGACTCGAAGAGAAAATCCACTTCTTTGACAAGAGTACATAGAAAGCAGCCCAAAGCTTCGTGAGAAGCTACAGTCACGTCCAAAGTAGCCGACGTGATGCCAGCCAACCGGAAGCCAGAGAGGTTCGTAACAAGTTCCTGTCGTCCAGCGAATCGATGGGTATACCGTGTATCCCAAGCCGCGAATTGTAAAGGGGGAGGGATGATAATAATTCACCCCCCCGCCCTGAAAAGTTCTAAAAAAACAGCCCCTAAATCAATATACGTCGCGCGGAATCAAAGAAAAGTAGGAAAAACAGTGAATGCGAGAACGTGGGTTACAGCGAATTTGAAATTTCGTAAAAAGAGCGTTTTCAACGTTAATTTCCAAATGCTCGATCGGCAGTTACTCGTGCGAACGAATAAGAGACACTGGGTATAGTAAAGCTTTTCAAAGTACCGAAGGCAAGACCCTTTCCAATAATGCAAACCAGGCTTGAACGTTACATGCAACTTAGGTATACATAATATAAGCGCAAGAGGTAAATTGCAACACGGATCCCAGACCTAACTCAATTACCAGGTCGACTGAGCGGGTTACGCCAGGTTAGTGAAATGCACGGAGCCAAGGGCGATATGTATAGAGCCATAGCGAACAAAGAGAATTCACCCTGGGGTCTGCGAGCTGCCAGGGTAAAAACCCCATAGTCGTCAGCCTTGCGCCCTTAGTCGCTTCATAAGGTTACGAGGTAGATGAAAGAATAGCAGGGGGGTGGCGACTTGATTTTCTAACTGGGAAAAAAAAAAATTTTTAAATCACTCGCGTATACAAACCACGTGACTCGTACGTGAAACAAATTTACGAAAAGGGCATGAGTCCTGGAATTATATGCGAAATTAAAAATTCTTCTAGAACGCTCGTAAAGTTACCTAACGACGTAATTTAGCGGAGAAACCAAAACCGTGTAATTTAAAAAAAAAAAAAATTTAACTCGAGTTAGGGTGAATTTTTTTTTTTTTTTTTCAGTAAAAAGAAAAAGAGTGCAATGCTCGTGGGAGTGAGCGTTAAGTAAAAGTGTTGACAATGCCATTAGGGTTGAATGCAAGTGAGCGTTTTGTTTACCGAGACTCGTAAAACTCGAGAATTTCTTGGGCGGTCCCACGTCGTAAAGAAAAAAAAAAGAAAAAACCAAGAGAAAGGCTGCCCGGAGGATGGTAACGTCACTGGCCCTTTCCTTAGCTCGAAAATTTATTCTTCACCTTTCGCGGTATTTTTTACGGAATTTTTTAAATCTTTTGTTTCTATTCCACCGAGACGCGATTTCACCTTCAGCTATGCAACGGCTAACTGTGCGACTGTAAGGAAACGTTTGGGCGCACTGCCGGGGTTGGTGCTCGGCTATTGATTTGAAGCTGCATCAACAACCCCTTCCTGTACCGGGCAACGCTCGGTTCAACTGGCCTACATCGTGCCCCACGTGCGATCGTCGTATCCGAGCCAAAGACCGAACCAAACTCCCCCCCAGTCCTCGCGGTGGCGCGTTAGTTTAATTATAGCCTGCGAAGGACTCCCGGCAATGTAGGACAACGTGTAACCCGTATACGTCACGTTTGCAAAGTCCTTCGAGAACTTCGTAGAACCGTGTACGAAGTGAGGTTAGAAATTGACGCAGTCGAAATTGTAGGTAAAAACGAAGATGGGATTTTTGGGGGAAGAAAAAAAATCCAAAATTAAGTGAATTTAGATTTTAAGAATCACACGTCATAGTCCCATCGGCCGAAAATTCAAGGCGCGGTCGTTGCAGACGATTCGGACAGCACGTGGGAACCTGAAACGGGGCCATTGTCCTACCAAGGACCTTTCCACTTCGCGAAGTGGATAAGTAGTAATCCCTGATCAGCCATACCAACCATACGTTACACGCGAAGACAGTCGCCATATTGGGTTTGTTGAATCCGTGCAAAATTCAAAATAATAAGTTTCAAAAATTATTAACTTTTTTTATTTTCTCAAAAATACCACACAAAAATTTCTTTCAATCTAGCTCCCACATCCTCGGGTCAATTTGGTAATTTTATCGTCCATTAGAAAGTAACCGGTACCTCGCTGAATACTATCGAAAAGCTCGAGAAGCACGTTTTTTTAATGGCAGTCCAAACGGCGCCATGCTAATTTCCCGATATTTAATTAAGAGGCACGAAGAAGGAAGGATGGTAGACAAGGTCGTGAGGCTCCTTCGTGCTGGTTTTCTTGCATCTGTTTCACCGAAAGGAGAAAGCTGGGGGCGAAGAGACTCACGTTCGCCGTCTAACGTAAATAAGTAACAGGCATAAGATGCCGCCGAGTACAAAGATAGGTAGCAGCTAACACAGCCAACCAGACAGGTAAGGTTAGACCTGGGTTGGGATAACCAAGCACAGAAAATTTTTGCCGACCCATCGTTAAATTCCCACGATTTTACTGGAATTTACTATTACAAAGAAAAAAGAAAAAAATGCAGTAAAAAAAAAAAGTTATGTAAAGATCCTAAAAAATTACATATTCCCCAATATCATAAATCACCGTTAAAACTTGTACTTTCTTTAAAAGCAACATTCATATTGGACTGAAAGATTATCCATGACCTTTGAACTTTCTTGACCTCCCCCAATATTCGGTATAGCATGCATTTTTCTATCGATGAATCCATGAAGGTACGTTGACCGGAAAAAGGGAACGAACTGTACTCAAACGTGATGATACCTTCTTCCGGCGCAGCAGCTTCCAGTCGAAGTGACTCATCCTGTTTGTCTCGTTAGACTTTCTTTATCGGGTCTCCCCCCAGTCCAAGTGGCTCCCCTGGTCCCACAAAGTTCACCGGTCGTACCGACGTTATACCCTTCTCGACCAACTCAGCAAAAGTCAGATAGCCAAAGAGTCAGTAATCCCGGCGGGATATCTCATGGTTCAATTATGTTCCCACGCAGTAACATTCTTTTATATGCACAATGCAAATGGCAACGGACGCATCACCAGCCACCCAGAAGACGCGTGACCGTCTTCACCGTGAAACCTCGGGATTCGTGAACTTGAATTCATGAGTTCGCATTCTACGTACATACGACGTAAGACGAACCCTGACAGTCCTTGACGCGTCAAAAATAATTTTCACTATTAATCACTCATTTTTTTTCTCTGAATTTCACCAGATACTCCAATATCCAAAATCACTGAAAAAAATGTCGTCACAATTTTTACGCAAATTTTTACCCTTTTCGAATGTTACAAAAATCACGTTTACATTTTTTTTTTTTTTAGACAATTCGTAAACAATGTTCCTATTTTCACAAAAGTCCTTATCAATTTTATGCACTGTTACGCGATAGCAATACACTGTGGAAGTGTATATGAGACACTTGCACGACTCGCCTATCGACTGACCCCATTTTCAAGCAGAGGTGCACGTTATAACGTTTGCTCACCTCGGCAACGAGAACGCGGTGAATGAACGAACTAACAGTCGTTATGAAAATTTGTACAACGCACGTCTGTATCTGTACAGTCTGGGACGCAAGTGAACGGATAAGGGAAGATTGACGAGTTGCGTGAGGGTTTAGGGCGTACTGTCAAAATATCAGTGGCTTCGCCCGATGCTGCCAGGGCTGGAGCGCGGAACGGGCATGCGTGATGGACGCTCTGGTCTGGCAGACTGAGAATTAAAATTCTGCGCCAATTCTCACGTCGTTATTTTCGAACTTATAAACACTCGCGGAACATCGGGTGGCCGTTAAGATAATTATAACGAGGCGTGAAGTGTCGATTTTGGATAACTGCAATTTTTTGTTGAGGGTTAGGAATTGAGAAAATTATTAGATTCTAATTTTTAAGGTTATACGTACAGAGTACGGTTCGTCAGTGTCACGCGAGCAAAAGATTGTCACAGCGGTTATTACAGGTAAGCACAAAATTATTGGTTTTACATGATCACTCGGTAGTTTGCGGCCAATGGCATGGAAGCGGCTTTTTTCCCCTTGGCGTTTCATTAAGACGCCCTTGTTGAAACTCACGAGTATACGATTTATCATCATCCGTAAGTCTGGGCTAATTGAATGGGTCTTTCACGATGGATCGAATTGCTGCGTCACGGCGCGGAGGCGGTCTCTTTCCCTTTCGCCTCTTTACACGATTATTTCGTGTATCCCCTCGAATTCACATAAGGGAAGATCGAGTCGTATCAGAGACGTATTCGCGCATAAATAAATCCACTCACGAATCACACGGGATACGCCAGTGCAAACAGACTTAAATATACCCCCGGAATACGAATTAACCTGGCACCGCACTACGAATGCATTTAAGATATACAATGAATAATAAATATTAGCCAAAACAACTGTCAAACGATATTTCGTCGCCCCGCCATTTCCACCGAAAGCCGTCCAATCGCAGTGATCCTAAGGTCCGATGCGCAAGGGTACGCTGAGAATCTTCGAGTTCGCGCGGCGCGACATCTCTCGGCGGAGTCACGAAGTTCATCGCGGCAACGGGAAATACCAACAATGGAAGCGTGTCTGGTTCAACGGTCACCACGGAATTCTAAAGGCAAATTGACCATGTAATTCAATCTGGCTCGGGACCCTTTATTTCGCGCGACAAAATCACGGTACACTATCTTTAAAAGAAGGATCACAGTGGATTACGGTAATTACCATACGCGTAAGGTATTACAATATAACCGACAAAGAATTCGTATCGACGTCCATTGTGCGAGGAACATGAAGCAAAAACGTCCTACGACAGTGAAAACGTTAATACAGTTCCGAAACGTGACAATGGGACTACGTGCAATCGCATGTAAGGACAATTTCAGGTGATGCTACAATTCAATTACAATTAAATACAACGTATCAAGAAGCTAGTGACGGACGCCATGATGAATCACAACGAGTCAATGTTTTCATTCTTCGTTCCCGATATATATATATCGTGAACTCAGCATTCGGATAACGATCTAAAGAAAATAAGTCGCCGAGTGCGAGAACTTCCTTTATGTAAGTAAAAAGATCCTGCAATAGATTTCAGAACAAGCATATAACTAGGACGCTGCCGATGCATCAATTAAATAGACAGAGAGCGGCCATGTTGGTTTCTATCAGGTACTCCCTTTGTGACGGCGCGTAATTCTTTTCTTTACCATTGACCACGTGTACATAAATATACATATGTTTTCTCACTTTATCTCTTCCGCGTCTCTCTCGGCACTGATCCATTGTTCCAGATAGATCGACGACTGATAGACGCGGATCAGCCATCACCCACAGCCACCTCGGAGGATACTGGGGGACTGGCTGGATATCTGCTATTCGTTTCAGTCCGCTTCGGTCTGCTGGAGCTATCGTTACCGATCTCAGAGAGAGCGTTCGAATTAATACGCTGGTAATTACTCGAGCTAATTAGACAAGTGCGCACGTACGACTTTATAACCGTAGCGATGAAAAGCGCGGGATGAAATTGCAAGATTTGAAAAAAAATCTCACGTCACCCTAGAACCTCTTCATCGATTCCGATCGATTCCAATTATTCGATCGATAAAAAGTATTCTGACGGATCAATAATTACAACCTCTTACGACGTATATCGATGTACGGAAATAAGGGAGAAAAGTAATTATCGAACACTGTTGATTGTAACGTGAAATAATTTTTTTTTCTCTTTCTCAAAACAACAAAAGACACCGGTATAAGTGATCTAATGGAGATATCGTTAATAGCGGGTGGTGGCACGTGGACGACTTTCGGTTCGATCATCACCAATGATAATATTAATTGGCAAACTTCGTTACTGTTAAATAGCCCAGGGCCATGACACGAGTGAAGCTGAAGGGTTTTGAGAAATAAAAAAATCTACCTATATCGTCCATTTCGATATAACAAACCAGTCCGAGATACGATACCTTAGACTCACGTAAATTCACGTGAGATAACGTCGCGACGCTTCGACTACTGTTTCCACCGTTAATACGTATACGTTACGTAGAAGCCAGTTCGCTACCGTCCGAGATCCCCATTAATAACAGTTTTCTTGTCGCGCACCGCTATTTACATTGAAAATTAATACCCCGTACCTCAGAAATTCACGGTTACTCGTTGCGAGGCACTTTTGTCTTCTTGTTTCAATTACTGAATAATTACACGCCTACATCCGTGTTATTACCAGACATTAATTGGGTAGCTACAGACCATTTGCATGCTATTCACTCAGAATACGACCCATATACCTAGATGCCTCCCTATTGGAACGTGGTGCATTTGCATTTTTTTCTTCTTCCTACGACTATCACATAAATTTCACGTGTACATACTATAGATATATATTGACCATAGATACAATTATTCTCGAGATACGTAGAAAGTGTGCAGAGACACAACAAAGCTACGTCTGAGTTACAAAGCAAGCTTTGATTATTGAATGCTGCTCTGCGGTTACCTAAGGAATACAAGAAATACGTTCGAGTATTAAAAAAAAGTTGACAAAGTATTGTAATTAGGCGTCGGCGCCTTGTATCGGTGACCGATTAGGTTACGGTAATAAGATAACGCAGTAAAGAGAACTGCGAGGTAAATGAAGTTTGAATTTATAGTGGCCCGTAGTCGTAGCGTACTCCCAGACGCTAGTTTTATCCGTGCGAACAGAAGCTTTAATAACGTAATAAATAAAGATAAGAATCGCGATGTTGATTTAGCAACGAGACACGAGGAACTATATTCACGAGCAAGGAAACGCCTGGGGTGCGTTGAAAAATCCTTTTTTTCCACCTTGAACCGATTGGCAATCGAGTAGGGACGCCTAACACGTTTTTCAAACTTTTCCGCGCGCCCTACCGCCATCTGTCGGCGCTCCGCGGTACCACGGCGAGCTTCGTGTATCAACGTACGTTAGGTTTTTAAAAAATATCCGTCATAATCTACAAGTAGGTATCGACTCCCGTGATCCCAATGGCTCAAACTTTCAGACGGTATTTACAACGTGCAGGCAAACTCCTATGTAGACATCGCGACATCGTAAATCCGGTAGATCTGTATCGGGTGTCGCGCAAAAAGCGACAAGGTGCGGCAACATAGAAATCGTCCCACGGTATACAGAGCGATGTAATGGCTGCGGGGTTGACGTGAAAAGGAGGTGACGGAGAAAAGGGAGAACAGGGGGTGGCGCGGGTAAAGGGGTCGTGTAAGGCGACGACAAGCAACATTGTGGTAAAAATTAATATTAATCAACGGCAATCTCCCATAAGACGTTGTTTATTGTAAGGTTGTTGTATGCAGATCGTTTTTTTTTTAAATGCGTGAGGCAACAACCGTTCCAGATCAAGACCCTAACCACCGTGTGATCTGGGATATGAATTATTTTATCGGTTTAACGGTATAAGTCCACGGTACCGTATGTCGTGTGTGTATTCTGCGTATAGTGAAATAGTGAAAGAGTGCGTGTGAGAGGGGGGGGGGGAGAACAAAAAAATAATAATTTTCAAACGTTCGTACGAACAAAATTTTTTTCAATGAATATATATATATATATATCATTCGCAAGGTGAGTTCACAATCTATATCGCCAAGAGTATAAACGAACATCGTCCTTCCTCTTTAGCGCTTCTTTTTCTTTCGCACGAGCATTAACCTCGCGCAGACCCAATTGTGTAAACCAGGCCCAACCAAATCTTCCTCGCGTACACACAACCTCTCTATTATACCTGCCAACGTGTTACCAGCTGATCGACTGTATCCCTGCGCACCGACACGCGCACCAGTTTACAATTAATGAAACCGAATCCCAAAGACAATGGCCATTCTTACCGTGAAATTTTTCTTAATTGCAATTAACGTTTTTACACTGATATCCGGCACTCCCGGATTTTCTCCTACGAGGGTAACGCGTTAACGTTTCCTCTTGCCTTGCCTCTCCCACGCTCTGTCTCTCTCCCGCTTGCGGAAGTCTGCGATCTCTATTCTCTTAATCCGAGCAATCATTCGCAGAGACAAGTTCATTGCCAAGTGACGCTTCAATTAGGGAGAATTGAAATTGTGCAAATACAAATTGTTATTATTATTATATTATTACTAAATGTGTACGGTGACATGGTGGGTGACAGGGGGGGGGGATTAGAGGGGAGACAGGGAGGATGTCAAATAGTCCGAAAAAGGTGAAACTCGTCGATATTGAAATTGCAAGTAAATCGAAAGGAGACCGATTTTCGATATTATCATTATTTTTTATCCCTTCGCTCCTACCCATTGTAAGCTCGACTGTCGAACAAGCCGAAAACCCAGACGACGACTCGCTAACGCCAAGATCGCTTAGGCTAAGGTCACGGATGACTCCATGAGGATAGAAAAACAGCGAAGCAGGGAAGATACAGGACCAGCAAATAAATACACGAATCATATGAATAACGCATCGTGGGAGCGCTGACGTAACGCGGCCGGACTCGCGGCTTTTTTCTTTTATTTACGTTGGTACGAAAAAAAAAAAAAAAAAAAAAAAAAAAAAAAAAAGTTTAACTTTATTCCCATCTCGTCGGTATAAGAATAAATCGCGAGGATGCTTTATTATGAAATCGGAAATTGGCGTCGATCTTCGGGCGAAGAGCGAGCGTTTCCAGAGTGTTCGCAGAATCGAGACTAGACACACGCCTAACTGATCTTGCTCCAAGTTATCTTGTTTCCAGGACTGCCGAACCCAGAGTACATAAGCAACTTCAGTAACTTTATTTTCTCCTGATATGGACTTTGCATATAATGTGTGTATATATACATAAAGATATATATATATATATATATATATATATATATATATCCTATATAACAACTCACGTACGAATGTAGGAGTAAAAAATTTCTAAAGATAACCAAGCGGTACTCGGTAACTGCCGGGGTACGTTAACTTCATTTATTTATTTTTTATATATATCCCAATGAAATCCCAAAGAGCCCGTGTTCTTTCTCACTTGCGCAGGCGCACGAGGCGCCGAATGCATCTAATTAATTAAAAGCGAAAGTGAGTGAAATTCTGACCGCAGCGCGTCGCGCGTGCAGAGTCGTTTATCCCCGCGGAAGGAAACGAGACTCGGCAACGCAAGGCATCCTTCTTGATTCATCCGTAAACCGGAAATGATCGTGATTCATTAGAGCGATAGCTCCGCGTGCATTGCAGTATTACGTAAGTTTGTGATAAAAGAAAAAAAATTCGATAAAAATTTTTAATCCGCGCGACCTAACCTAACGGATAAATAAATAACCGCTAGCGTCTCAATACGTATTGATATGGATAAACTTAAAAGCATCCGTTACTTCCGCCACGTAACAGAGTACACCAGTCTTATGGCTTTTTCGTAAAGAAATTTTTTTTTTCAGTGGAGCGTCATCATCACCGTCATTGTCGAAGAATAATACAAGGCAGCCACCGACACGAGCCATTTGACGTCCAGCGTATAATTTGTATTTAATTTGTCCGCCATTTTGAATAATAATAAAATTAACACCGAACCCTGAATCGCGAGAAGACTTCAAAATGTCCGGAAGCGAAGATTCTCATGCGAGACTGAATTTTTCACCGTCGCTCCAGGCGGAACGCTTTCGCGACGCCGTTAGACATACATGGCGACGGCGTGTGTGCAGCCACAGCGCCTCCCCTCGGGATGCACAAAGTGCGCCGCCATTAAGATATGAAATCTGCATCGACATTGACGATCGTATCGGACGCTACCAATTGTATTTTCAACAGAGCCTCAAATCCTGTACGATTCGAATTAATTAAATATCGAAGAAACTCGTTGACCGATCGTGCGTCTTTAAGTGCGATAAATGAAATTTAATTAATACTATAAGATTCTCGTCTAAATGTCTAATGCATTCTTAAATTCATAATTCTTATTCAAGACCATACAAGAAGTAGAGTCCTCGTAACCGATACAAGGGTTGTGCTATATTTTCATGAGAACTCTGGTACCACTGTGTATATAAGTAGAATACTACAGTTGATACTACGGTGTGCATAAACGAGAAGAAGGCCCTTTCATGCGGAGAAACGATAAAAGCAGGAAACGTGGTACACGAGGGTGAGCCAAGAGTATTTATCACTGGAAGGGCTTTAAAAAGATAAAAAAAAAAATAAGAAAAAAGAAAGAAAGAATGCACAATGCAAGCGAGTGCGGTTCGCCGGGAATGAGACGGGCGATGCAGTACAGGTAGATTTATGGGGGCTCAGGGGGTCCGTGTTTGTGTCGCAGGTCAGCCTGTGGTTCACGGTCACCTCACCTTACCTTACCAAGGTATAAAACCCAACCCAACGTAACCTAACCTAACCATAAACTAAATTGCACCCTCCCTCACTGAATCCAGCCACGACATTAAATCTATTAAGACGAGAAAAGCCCCCACGGGTTCATTGACCCCCCTCCCTAGTGCAACCAAGGAGAGGATACTTGCATTTTATTTATAAATGCATAACCTCGTGCAACTCGTGCATTTCGACTTTACGTATTGCGTTTGGTTATTTATCATCGACCTGGTGAATCTATGTGGGCATATATTTCCTTGCCAGAGAAGTTCGGATTAGGAGTTTATACTTTACTTCGGGAGTTTATTCCCTGTGGAGCTGTTGTATATGCGTGTGTACGGGCTTCTGAAGCTATAGAGAATTTTTTTTCAAGTCCTTCCTCGCCAACGACGCTCGATAAAGTCAGCTACAATTATCCAATTACTCTTTACATCAGCTTCGAGTGCAGTTTAATAATTGCACCGGGTATGGCTCAGGACGCATTGACCTTCGAGTAAGCGTCCTGGTACGTGCACCTTCGATATAGCCACTGAACATGCCTGGGTACCGTTTGTCAGGGGAATTTTCTAACCTTAAAAATTCACACGTACCCAATAGCGTTGTCCTATTGTTTTTGCTATTTTTGATTCTCAGACGATACTTGAAATGAAATTATATTCGGACTGTGATTTTTTATGCTCAGCGGAGAATGAAATGGCGAATAAATTAACGGCATCGTGTTAATTCGTAGAACGTTAAATAACTACGTATGAAATGACTTTCACCGTGAACGAACGTCATCTAACACGTGAAATAAATTGTCGCGAATTATACTTTAAATTAGAATAGAACTTTTCCAGCTGCCATGACAGGAAGGTCGTCATGAAGGATGTTTACGTTTCCCAGTGGATAATGTGTACGATATACGTATTTTAAGGTTATGGTAATATGTGAACTTACCGGTAAATTTCTAATGCTGAGTCGTACTTTGGAGTATTTCTTCATGAACACTCGCCACAACACGTAAGCCATTTTTCACGAGTCCTCGTTGTACCTTGTACCCTTTTACGAATCTCACGACCCGGCGCACTTCGAATCGAATCCCGACGAACACTGTTATTGCACACGCGATTCCTGCGATTGAAACAGCATCAATCCTTGACAAATCGTTCGCGTTACGCGCACATAATTACACGAGACGAGTTTAACAGCCGTATCGCGGTCGATTCCTGGCAGTTTTACCCATAGGGACACTAGGTAACGCGCTGATTTCCCGACTGTCGTAATCGATACACTAAAACGTCTGAAAAAGAAAGAGACAGAGGCCACCTGAATGCAGCCGAACCAGACTCTCAGTATCGAGAGCAAAAAGCAAATGTCAATTCTCGAATTAGCGACTTGGAATACTGGTGGATTTAAAATAGAGATTACCGACTCGAGATTCGGTTGCCCCCTAGAGTCTGTCATAAGATTCAAGCTCCCGCCTTTACGAAAGTAACATGGATTCCACCCACTTTTATTTACTTTTTATTTTTTGTTTTTCAAGGGCTCTCACTCGCGAGATCACAAAACTGTGACGAATTGTAATTCACGGGACGTCGGCGCATTCGACTTTCTATTCGGTTGGTAACTCACTGTAAATCGCGAGTTTTAACTGGGCAAGGTCATCACTATGTTCACGGTTACTAATCGCATCCTCGCGCACATAATTCCAGTATTTACCCGCGCTGTTTAAATCGCTTGACGTCACACGAAACTTAGCACTGTATTTCGATTAAATACACTGTACACCACTATACACTCCGAGGTCCACTAGGATCTTATTCCGAGATGCCTCTTTTGCTCTTAACCTTTTCTTCTGAGCTCGGGGGAATTTTCAAATAAAACACCTCGACGACAGAGGACGACGTTACGGAAGCTGGACCACCGTTACTATTCTTCCTACAGAAACCATACTCTGCTACTTTGAAACACAACTGGCGATCAACATTAGAATCACGAATCGCATTAAAGTTGCTCTCCTCGCATAACTCGTTCCAGTAACACTTATAAAATCGTCATGGAGAATCATATCCTCCAACACGTCACATAACAAATGAGAAAGATGATGCCCCGCATACGTATGTGAGAGTCGTAAAAAAGAAATCCGGATTAAAGAAAACTAGAAAATATTCCGAGACGCGACAATACCGAACACGCGCGTTGCACGGAACACTAACGAAATCACACTCACCGTTACAAATATCCAGAATGGACAGCGTCCGCATTAAAAAAAGAATTACACGCAACGCGGGAATTTCAAACGAAAGAGAACGTATCACGGGACTGTGTTTTCAAGATCTACCGTACACTTTCCGATGTAAATAAATCTCCTGTGTTAACCATCCTCTCGTATTGTATCCATATCCATGTTTTCGTCCGATATTTATAAAGTTTCTCAAAACTTCTTCACAAGTACTGTTTCCCTCGTAACACAACAATTTTCTGCTCTTTCTTTTATTGTCTCATCCATATATCAGAAATCGCATTTTTCTATCGACCAACTGTCCAAGCACCTATGCAGGCAAACACGACAAAAGCCAGGACGGTGAACGGCGCGCATGTAACCAAGTGTCTGACGGCAGTCGCTGCCGAGAAATAACTGACAACGCATGCCGGCCGCTGAACGACCGTCGCTGCCTCTATACGCCGACTTATAAGCTGTGTGTGAAGCCGAACGAGCGGAATGGCCGTGCGGCCAAACCTGGCACTAACCAACAGCGGATCGGTTGGATCTTTCACAGGGTGTCTCATATACAAAGGCGTGTCCCGCAAGCAGCAGCAGAATAATATGCTACCAGAATCCTTGCCGGATACGTCGATGCAGACCTTATCGATCGATGAAAGTTCGATAAGTTGACCTTAAGTTCGTACATTCATTAATTTCTTTTTCTAATCCTGACTTACCTACGATGGATGACTCAAATCATTTTGACAGTACATATATCTATATCAGGCATACATTACAGATACGTATGTACAAGCACCAGTTTCGTAGGTTACAGATATTCTTACTTAAATCGATGAGCATCATATGTATATACAAAATGGCTGTCAGGCACACGCGTATCTAAGTCGCGTGCACACGTGGCAAGCAAGAAACTTTGCACTTTGAAATATTCAGCAAGTTAAGAGACTCTTGGCACGCGACTACAGACTCGTACTTTCTACTGGATCATCTGTATTGCGGAATGGATTTAAGGATTTCTTTGATATTCCATTTTTATTGTGTTCCTCTTTTTTCGCAAATTAGCCTCGACGAAGGATTCTGCCTTTAAGACGGAGAAGAGGACGTGTGAGAAAATTTGAAAAAAATTTTTCTCAGTCATATTACAGTATAACTGCTGGTACGTGTTTAGAGAAATTGAATTGTAATTATATTTCTGTATATAGATTTACAAGTGAATATATGCACCACTCATCCAGTACAACGCAATATCGCATACCCCCGGTGTCTTGGAGTAATTAAACATTATTCAATTTAATTGGCATTTCGGTATTTCAGATCTCTATACGCACGCCAGGTATGGGCCGTTTGTATATCATCAATTATAATCGATATATTAACGGTGCACGCCTCTTTATCATTTGACTTATTCGATTTAACGATCTTACCAAGAATTTTTCCTTCTACCTGTAGACCATACGGATACTTCATTATTTATCATGAAATTATCACTCCTATTTAGTGACTCGTCCTCGCGCAGTATATAATTATTACATAGAGTACCTATCTGTACAGTCTTATTCAAAGTTACATATATCCTCCACCTGAAGCAACTAATTCTCAACGCCATCGCCATCACCCATATTCTCAGTTAAGTAATCCTGATTTATGTTCCCAGATTCTCCTTGCATCACGGTGAGGCACTTAAATAACCAGAACACATCAACAAGCAGCAGGATCAGTCCAATTCAGAATCGCCATACAGAGTCCACATTACATAACCAGCTCCACATTAAAAAAAAAACAACTTCAGATCATTCACGAACCACAAACCAGTAACACTTTTTGGAAATTTTGAAAACAAAAAAAACCGTTAAACAATCCTTAATGATTTTTCTTAATTTAACAATTTCAATCCTACCAAACATTCTTATCACTAGTTCTACTATCTGCAGATGTTCTCTTGGCACATAAAACCCTCTGTAGTCATCGTGCAACAATAACTATCATGCATATGACGTACAGTATACATAGGGCTATCAGTGTTATAAGAAATTTACGCAGAGTCAAAAAAATCCAGCCTCAAAAAACATTGAGGATAAATGGTCTTCTTTCACGATTAGTACCGGTGTCGGGCCTCTCGCACTTCTCCCTTTACGTCTCGTGTTCGCTATCGCTTTTAGTTCTTTGCCTCCTTTATATGCAGCCCCCGTCCTATAACCTGTACCTGCCAGGTACCCCCAGACTAACACAGATGCCTATACAGCTCACGAATACATATCTTCCTTCGTTTCCCCTCGAGACAATGGGTGTGCCTACCTCACGGTATGGCCACGTGAGCACCCTCAAAAAAAGCCCTCAGTCCCTAGACACGTTCATTCATCCAGTAGTATACATATGCCTATATATGTGTACATTCAGTAGTTGATGCTGCTGGACCGGTTTTTTGTTTCCCCTCAAAAGTCATAAGATCCAACCACAAATGAAGCCTTTGACCTGTTAAAAAAAATAAGAGGATAGAATTAGTAACGGTGATCCGAGGATATTTTGAGGCAGAGACTTTAGGGATTCTTTTAAAAAATTTAAATAAATTGATTAAGTATAAATGAGGAAGTATACAGACTCCTATGTATCATGTATGACTGACTCACCCTGCCGTGCTTGTAGTCGATAAAGAAATGCATTGATACCAACCACTAACCTCCAGCATGCCTTTTCAACCTCTGTATAAATCATTATTATAAAGTGGCCTATCGTTCTGCGCCCTTATGGATTCTTTTCATCATGCCGATTTACAATGGAACTGCCAGGGCTAATAACTAGTTGTCCAGTACCACGTATGTCGACTCCTGTTGGTAAATTAAAAAACGACCCTTATTAATACATGGATTAGATTTCACGTCCACCCATCTCAATACTGAATTACGGATACGTATGTATGTGCATACAGATTTTTTTGGTCTCTGCCACCATTTTTGTTCGGTCTCTCATAACCTTGCGCAATAATCCATTACAATAGAGAGTATCGACAAGTCGTGTTATCAGAGAATACAAATTTACATGTCACAACTTTAAAAACGCACAGTTAAGAAATCTTGCAAATAGCAGAATAATAATCACAATTCATTCTCATTGAGCAACAAACCTGCACGAAGCTTTGTGAATGAGTGCCATGGAAACGCGATCGAATTATCGTGATAACAGTAGCAAGACAATACCACAGAGGTTATCGCGATCGATCAGAATCATTGTTATCGATCGTTTGGTTTGATGATCGATCCAGTAAGATCGTTTGTAAGGTGAGTTGAAAAATGAATTTTTACTATGAATTTACAAAATTATAATTAACTCTAATGAATAGCTATCAAGGATCCTTATCGATGCTATCTAAATTTTGAATTAAAGAATTTTAACGTTTATACATGACGCATGTGAAACTTCGTGATTCAAGGGGGATTTATGATTTCCGTGAGGTCAGGAGTTATGGCTGCCTGAACGTTGAGCATTTGCAAACTCGTTGTGTATCGCTGGAAAATACGTAGGCAGGTTTAACGTACGCGCTACGATGATGCTCTCTCTCTTTCTCTATCTCGTTGCACATATTACATACGTATCCTGACGTGTGCGCACACGTGTTTTCTACATATGTACTTACGTACTTTGTACCATAGACTATATTACGCACAGGAGGCAACCAGGAAACGTCTGCCATCCTTTGTCGGCTTCTGACGACTAAATGACAGCATTTTTCTACGTGAGATACCGGCTTAACGTTGGATATACTCGTGAGTGCTCGTCTGCATATGCTGCGTACGAGGAACGAGCAGTCAAAGGAAACCGGCTGAGATCCTTAAAGGGCAGATGAAACATGATGTAACAAAAATATCAAACTAATTAAACAGCAAGAATTCCAATGATAATCAGCAATGTAATAAAACGTCAATATAATAACTTTCAATACTTGCATGACTCGCCATAAAGTATAAGAGGTTTCAGAATATTTTATTCTAAACAGCAATCCGCGTTTCCGTCGACGTACTCGACGTCTAACAAGAAACAGCGCGACGTTTCTTGCGAACGACTTAATGCTCCTTACATACGTAGACTCCGCCGGTAAATCTCATCTAATAGGAGACATAGCCGACAAATCGGAAGAAGACTCAACGCTCTTTACCGTTCGTTCCAATGTAAATCTGTCTTTTTGTCTCGAGTCATCCTTATGAAATTCTGTAAAGGAGGTTAAGATTTTGAACGATAATTCGAATAAAGGTTAACGTCTTTTCACAACCCGTATAACGTAGAGACGATCTTCGAATTCCAGGATGAATCTTACGTTGTCAGATACACGTGTACATAACCTATGTTCTGCCAGGTGAAGTTCGTTAAGAGATGCGTATTTCCTGTCCTGTCGGACGTTACATAATCCAGCACTCGTTTCATTAGTGCACTACGTGTTTTCTAACGTATCTACGATCTGTACTCGATGCAAGGACGGCTCAAGGCTTCACCAAGAAGAAGAGAGAGGGCAGAGTGGCTGCATAGTGCGTATAAACGTCGCATTCGTGAAGTCACCGATTAATCGGTCTTTTAGAATTGTTCTAACCTCTCGCTCTCTCGTTTCTTCTTTATCTTCATTCCTCTTCCTCTCCGTCTCCTTCGCTAGTCCATCCAGACGTACTTACACCCACGAGTAAAATTGGAATTTCCTATTGGGACGAATCTCTTGCGTGTTCCCTCGTGGCGCCAGTTGGAAACAGCAGGAAGCCCATGGCTAATTGGTTAGAGTTGAACTTTCGAAAAGAAATATACTAAATGTACGTATCTACCAGTACAAATGTAAAGAACGTGATGAACAGGTTCGTTAAAGCTGATTTTTGTCCTTTTATTTGAATTGCATCTGTCACAACGCAACCAACAAATGTATCCAAATGTTTTCCCAATTATGCACTGCTCTTCTATATCGATTCACCCGCGGAATTCTCACAGCAGAAATGTAAATTGGATTACCTACCAAGGAAAGTTTAATGTCTCTATTCTTAAAGGCACGATTACCAAACTGACCAGACACGCCTCTTGCAAATTGGCATTCGGCTCGGGCGCCAGCCTGGATAAAGACGTAATGCCACACGATTATACCTTCGCGTAGGTAAGATTATGCGTGGCTCATAAACGCAACTTAATATGATCCTTGGTACAGTGAAAATACGTACATTGTACTGTGAGAAGGTAATATTAAAAAATTTTAGTTTCTATTTTTACAATTTTTTCTGTCGCTTTAACCAAGTTCTTGTATTATACAATTTTTATTAGTCGTCTAATCAATCCCACTTAAAAACCTTGTCATTTTATAGGGACTGGATCGATGTCAGCTGCCCTATGGCCAAGTAACTACCTCCAACAGCAGCTGCGTCGTGATCCTGCATTTTACCCTTACGTAATAAGCTCTTGCGTAATGATCACGCGCCAATGACATAGCCTCGGATCGCTGTCCGGTATTGTCCTGCAGATAAGTATATTACTCCAGGCTGATACTGTTACGCTTACGCCTGCCCCTGTTCCAATTTCCTACAATTTTCCTGCCCTACGCATTCTCTTTACGAAACCTCCAACACGCGTGCATACAATAATACCGTAGCTATATCCACGTCCTACGTAGGCTGCAACGAACTCCTTTCCTTCTCAGATCATGGCGCTTTATCTCGGTCCCACTGTCATCGTATAAGCTGATGCTTGAAAAGGAGAACAAGAAGTAATCGACGCCTGCACTATCCTGAGAGCTAATGACATCCTGCAATTAGAATGATCATTTCTAATAAACTTATTAATTATATAGAACGGACGTTATAAGTGTGACTTCAGTTCCTCTGTGAATTTAGCCAAGAAATTGTCAAACTATTTAATCTAATTGTATAGCTATATTATCTGTAAGTTTATTATCAATTATTAGGCGCGAACCTTCAAAGAAAAGTTTCGCAGTGTAGAAAGCCGCTTTCCTCAGTTACCTCGTAAACTGTGTATTTGTAGCTCGTTACGTTTAATAAGGTGGTTACACGGGGGTGACAAACTGCAAAAGAGAGACAGAGGCACGCGATCGCTCGTGTCTTCGGAGTTTACAAGATAATTTATTTAATTGCGGGAACAATGCCTTGTGTAAAAGATTTCTCCCAAGGAACCAAGAATCGCCGCATTGTCTACAGTGGCACCAGCAGGCCTCTCTCTCTCTCTATCTCTCTCTCTCTGCTTGCGACCATATAGACACACCAGGGTCTGCTGCCACTTCCGAAGAGCAAAATCATAACGGGCGCCATGTATCGTCATGTCTAATTGAATGTGAAACGTATATTAACAATCGTATAAAATTCCATAAAACAATATCAATTAACATTAACCTCGTCCTTGTTACTCGTTTCCACAGTCGTGAAAATTCATGGGAACACATAACAGTACTTATAATATGTAAAACAAAAAAATTGTAAATCTTCGCAACTGTGCGTACTGTAACTGCGGCGATTAATTAACGCAAACTAATTAAAAATTAGATGTTATCGCACGCGAATAGGAACTTACCAAAAATTTCAAATGGTACCACCAGAACAATACGGGGATCTGCCTACGTGAACCAGTCACAGTCTCCTGGTCACACATGCCCATTATCTATTCTTTCTATATATAAACTTCTCTACATACGTTGCATATATGTATATACGAACATACCTGAACTCCACACAGTGTTACCAATTCCGGTTAGATCATCCCCGGACGTGGTCGTAGCCCGACAAGGTGGTCCTCGTGAAAAGGAAACTGCATAACATACATTTTATTATACTGGCTCACACGGCGTACCAACCATACGGCAACGCAATGCAGTGAATATCCAGGACCTGGGTAACACCAGCATGTATCTATCCACCCTGGAGAAGATGCTCCGTGGGAGGTTGGAGTCCAACGTTTTGTCGCGTGGGCCTTGTATCCTGTGTGCCACGTCCATTTGTCCCAGTGTATATATATTCCTTTGGTTTCTGTTCTTCTCCTGGACCCGCAGCTTCTCGGCCGACCTGGTAAGAGTCAAGGCCTCAGTATTATACCAAAGGACAAAGCGGTTTGGTTTCCCCTTCATCGATATATCCTTGTGGATACACACACCCACACACGAATATATATATAACTACTCTTTCTTCTTCCTAACCTCTTATAGATTTCTGTATGGGTATAACAGTCGTATTGAGAAGACATGCAAGAAGCATCCACACAGAAAATGGCATCCCTGCTCCAGCCACTCTGCAGACAAAGAGATGAACTCGCCTGGTGATTATTAACATGCATTGCGAAACAATCGGCCTAACGCAACGTAGCCGGCAAATAAAAAAGGCCTAATAACCGCACGGCCTACGCTTTCGGAGTAGGAAGTGAAAATAAAATGTGGATGCCACGAAAGTAACTGTTGAATATGCATGTCAACATTCTATTCTTTGGCTGCTGTACTGTCTCTTGTCTGTCCTAGAATGTCAGGTCCTTCCTGCGTCCCTTTAGCGTCTCTCCAAGTTCCGTAAGCGCTGCTCGAAGAAATTTTCCAAAAGTGTCGATTACCATTCTCGAAATTTTCTTTACAGGAAGTTCGACGTTTTCCATTCTTGAACTGAGCTGTGACTCGATGAAGAGGTCCTTTTTGGATGTAAGCCTGTCTCTTCCTGGAAGGATGTTATTATTCGTAGAGCACAAGAGGAATACGAATCAGTTAGTACGCAGTACGGACGCCAGTATATGGAAGAAAATATAGAGGTCGTTCAAAAGAAAGAAATACTGAAACCATTGAGCAACTAATCCTTGGTATTATTTATTGCTTCGCGATTGCAGTAACGACGAGTGACTTGACGGATCGTCGGGACGTCGCCGGATATCTCAATCGTATAACTTTCCACATTGTTCTGCCCTATACGAACAGTACTAAGAGTCTATCGCACTTTTCAAGGACAGCGTGCTCTATCTGTTTTCAACGTAACGACATATTGATAAATTAATGCTGTGGTAACGGAAGAGTATATTTCATCGTGTAAAACAATATCTACGTAGTCAATAATTATCGTGCCTACGCACATCCTGATACGTATTATCATCCTGAGGAAGCTATTTTTTAAATCCAATTTTTTCCATCTGCGTCTGAAGAAAGAGGAAAAAATCATAATGATTGTACTTGAAAGATATTGCATTAATTCTTGACACCTTCGGTTTCTGAAATTTGAGGTCAATTAATCAGGGAATTAATTACCCATCTATGAGTTTGATTTGAAAATTAGGATAACGCCAACGACTCTGAGCGTGACATCGCGTGTTCCATTAATAAGGCCAGCTCGAAGCACCATTCAACTAGGATGTTCTTATGGGGTTGTTGACCAGGGGTGCAACTTGGGTGCGGCCTTAGTAATAACGCTAAGGGATAAAGCAAACTCCTCTACCTGTTTGCTAGCAGCACGTATGTAAAGCCAAACCCTGTTAAGGTGAACTCGAAGACGTATTTTTTTTCTTCTTAATATCCTGATGGAATAAATCCTGAAATTAGATTATCGATGGGTTAACATTTATTATAGAGAAAATGCTACACTGCTTGTCTTTGGAACAATGTACGAAAGTGCATAACTTTAGACAGCATATAGGTTGACGATCGCATATTAAATTACAATTGTACAATTGAGTTTTGTAAAAAAAACATTGTACATACTTTTTACACTTTTTTTTGGTTCACCCGTTACTTTTTTTTCCTTTTTTCTCTTGTCCCTCGTTATCACTCGTTCGAACCCACCTCTAATACTGGCGCTTATGTGAGCAAAGTACCACGTAATCGTACAAGAAAATTAAATACGACATGCATCGTAGCGCGCTAATATATTTATATATTTATTTATATATTTATAATTTTTCTTCGCGAAACAACACGAGCGCGTGAATCGCGAACGGAATCGGTCCCGCGTGTAATCGTGAAACGTAATATTTATTCGTTTAGGGTAAAATTACAAACGTCTTTATTAATCGAAAGAAAGAATAAAGGAAAGAGAGAAAAAAAGATTAAATACTGCCTCAACACAGAGGTAGACAAATTAATACAGAGGGTGCAAAGGCAGTCAAACATATCATTGTCGTTCTGCTCAATCAAATTTACACGTAGCGTTCTTTTCATTTTATTTTCTTTTTTTTCAAATAATCCTACCTTAAAATCTACCAACGGATCTCGTACGCGATCAATCCGGAGGTCAGCCATCCCCGCGCACGATTTCGATAAAGTATTCAACAAAAAGAATTTTCATACTTTTCTCTTTACTTTTTTTCTCCAATTCTCTTTGTTCTTTTTTTTTTCTCGTAATTTTGTTTTTTCCTTCCCACTAAATAATAATTCTTTTTCGGCTGATCTCGGCTCTCAAAGAAACTTATATAACCCGGGTTCGTGTATCATTATTCTTCATGTTCAATAAACCTTTGCAGTGTCCACGTCTGAAAGTGTGCACGTTAAACGTCGCCCTCTGCGTGACCATATACGGCGCCATGTAACTGGCTCGTAACTTTTACGAGTGCAGAGATCAACCGTTGACGTAAACAAATGTGCAAAAAAAAGTAAAGCAAAAAATAGAGAAAATAAAAATCAAAAGAGCTTCGACCCACGACCGCGAGTGACCTTCATTCATTGCAATTTTGCAAAAGAAACTCTCATGTGGAAATAGTACATGCGTTACGCGTTCATCGCGTATACGTAATGACAATACATGGCATATTAGAAAATGGCCTCTGACCACCGGATAAACCGCGAGAAGAATTAATATTCACAATTTAAAAAAATTTTTAAACATTGTGAACCCCAGACGAACGTGACTTGTGTTACAATTACGCTCCTGTGGATCTGCCCGCACTAAAAGTTACTTCCGTTTGGTGCAGGCAGATCCCAATTCCTTAATTTTTTTTTTCATTTTGGATAATCGACACACCCAATGATAATTCTAATTCTTAAAATTAAAGACTTATTTTATGTCCTAACAAAATGAAGAGTAGTGAAAAGCGTGTATTTACAATGTAGCCTCACATTTTTTCGCGCTTTTTGATATTGTGGGCCGGACCATTTCTTCTTTTTTTTTTTTTGAAGAACAACGGATTTCATGCGTTTTTTTCTATCTTCCTCTTCGTTGTCCTCTTGCTATTCTTCTTACTCTCTTCCTTCTTTTTAAGGAGGTGCAAAGTCAGCTCCTTACAGCATACTGCGTTCTCCGTTCATGGTATATTCTCGAATCATTAATGATTTATCTATTTATAAAATATTATGCCTGTGCTGGGCTGTCTCCATCATTTTACGATGGTATTGTTTTCATAGACGAGAACGTTTCACTGATGGGCCAACCGCACCACGTGGCAAACTTTTTTTTTATGTACCTCATGTATCGGCATAGCGATGCGTACGTTAATGGATATTATTTTTACATTATTGTGGTTGTACAGCTTGCCTCTTTAGTCCTATAAAACTATCACGCTACGTCATATTTATAAATTATTATATATAACTAATATAATGTACACTGCTTTCACTGTCTTTGCAATGTCATCACTTACACCGATACTGTGAGGAGAAAAAATATTTGACTATTAAGTAGGTACGTAACACTCCTTCAGTTCGTTTCATTACGAAATTGTTTGTAGTAAATGTATGTCACTATTGCCATCCTCATCCTCCTCTTCGTCCTGATAACCGAGAGAATACGAGCATAAAATATAATTATAGTTTCAGAAGGTGTAGGTAGAATACAAAAGATCGATGGATCAATAAGAAATTACCTCATCGAAGCCAAAACAGTTTTCCATTTCCTTGCGTAACTTAGGATTATTCTGTGAGGATTGACCTGAAGATTTGTTCGAAGAACCAGAAACGTCTGATTCCAGTTTTAACTCTTGTAGCTCGGATTCATCCTCCACGTCGCCATCATCTCCCGTTCCCGTTACGATACTTCCGTCTTGACTGAGAGGATCCTGCATAACCAGGTCGCCATCTTCACTAGCAACCACTGCCATCTGCTAAGGTTAAGATATGTATTATATACCTAAATATTCCTACAGAACGTTACAATTTTATTTATAATCTTCAATAACGAATATACCTGATCTCCACCCTGGTTATCTGCTAGCTGTATAACTTCTAGCACCACGTACTGCTGGCCATCACTTCCTTCGACAGCCATCATATCGTCCTCGTCCTCCTCTTCGTCGTCTTCATAACCTTTAAGTTTAGAAGCTAAATCACCTGCCGTCACACATCACAACACACGGAAATTAGTCAATGATCTAAGTCATATCGTAAGGATCCCCGTGAATGCTGTCACAAATTACAAAAACCGCAAAGTACATTGCGTACTGAGCTCAAGAAAATATCAATGGATGGAAATTCGTCAATAAACAAAAAACAAGATAATTCAACTAATACGAAAGATCTGCTAACCTGTCATAACTTCCACTCTCTGGCCATCAATTATTTGAATCTTCTTCTGTCTACCAATCTTGAGGGCGTGCTGCTTCTCCTGCAAAGATGATTCCGGATCGTGCACCGCCATATGCCGAATGAGGTTCCCTTTGTGCCTAAAACGAAACAACATTCCATGAACCCCAAAATCCTCTGCTTCTACTGTCACATCTTCAACTTCATAAGCTTCATCCTCACCTGAAGGGTCTCTCACATTCCGGACACTGATGAGTCTTCTCCTGAGGTGGTGGCGGTACGTAAGACGGATTGTGATAAAGATTGCAGTGCCGTTTAAGCAATTGTTTTTGCCTGAAGGATTGATAGCAATGATCACACTGATATGGCTTTTGGTCCGTATGAATGAGCATATGACTCTCAAGATGACGGGCCGATATCGACGCGTAAGGACATAGATCGCACTTGTAACACTTCTCGCCCTCGTGCGTTTTACTGTGCAGTTTGTAGCTGTACCTGCAACACGAAAATCGGTCTTCGCTGAGTCCACATTTAGCCAAGATCGTAACTCCCAAAAACCTGGCGTGAAAGAAATTCGTATATTAACCAAGAAGCGCAGTCCGTGACGCACCTGTCTGGGAATGTTTTTCCGCAGCGTTTGCACTTGAGCGGCTTGTCGGATGTGTGAAGCTTCTGCACGTGAATTCTAAGATCAGTTTTTCTACCGCACGTCGCTGGACACAGTTCACATTGGAATACTGGTTTGTCGCCGACTGAAACAAACGAAAAAAATCATTCTCCTCTTACAGAATACTGCTATCTGTAAAGAAATTCAATCGAGTAACCAATTGTCATTAATCACTCACCATTATGCACCAGCTTGTGCGCCTTCAGGCTATTGGATTGCGTAAATCTTGCTTGGCATATATCACACTCGTACGGTTTCTCACCGGTGTGAATGCGTAAATGACGTTTCAATTTGAAAGTATCAGGACTGGCGTATGTACAATGAGGGCACTAGGAAGAGAGAAAAAAAGGAAGATCTCAATTACAATTGCACGCGATAAAAAATCATTTTTATCTACGCAGTGAAGTTTGTTAAGAGAAAAATATTGTTATTGATTCTTCTATTTATTATCTTTTGCATAAACATAAAGGAAACCTCGTATGGACGTTCTCCCGTATGAATTCGCATATGATTTCGCAGCTTGTTCTTCTCGACGCTCGCGTAATCACAGAGTGTGCACTTGTGCGGCTTGTCGCGGGTGTGCTTGTACCTCGTGTGTCGCACCAGTTCACCTGGTCGAGAAATGAAACAGAAAAGAAACTCGTAACACGTACCTGATAGGGACGCTCTCCGGTGTGGCATCTAATGTGACGCTTGAGCTTAGACAGCTCGACCGACGCGTAATCACACTCGTGGCATTTGTGCGGTTTTTCATGGGTATGTCTGTACCGAACATGTCTTACAAGTTCACCTGCAACCAAAGAGACCCAACGACAGTCATACCGATCTTAGTTCTAGACCGTTCAAAGAAGTGTAAGGTAGGAATAGATATAGAGCAACCTTAAACAGATGAATGGATCGATTCCCTGCGCCATAGTGATATTATTCTTTTTTATATGATTAAATAATATTATGAAAATCTTCATGCATTAATCGGGAGGGACTTACCTTGTTGATTATTATGAGAAATATATGAATTCATTCTAATAGGTCTGTTACTGTAGAGCAGTGGATGCGATTTAGAGGACTAGTAAAAGGAAATTATTAAGCATGTTATATAGTAGCAAACATGTCGGTACACACAACGCATGCGGATACACAAATTCACAAAAATACAAATTACGTCAATTTATATACCCAAAATGACCATTGCATTCTATTTCATTAATACTTGTCGTACACAAGTCTGTCAAGTACACTGTCTGTTTTGTTGACGTATTAGAAAGAAAAATTCGCGAATAATAAAACGTACGGACGAAAACGCAAAGAATGTCATATTCTTATATTTTCTTTTTACTCACCAGACGTGGTAAAGGCGCTGTCGCAGAATTTACAATGATGTGGCTTGGTCCCGGTGTGAGTGTTTACATGATTCTGCAACGAAGCAAGCGTCTTGAAACCGCGTTCGCAAACGCTGCATTTGTGGGGACGTTCTTCCGAGTGAGATTTCATGTGTCGTGAAAGAAGGTACCTGTTAGAACAAGTAAAATAAAGATCTTTAAATGTTTGTCTGTAATATCATTGTTTTCATTAATGATTGAGAACGTTCTGGGACTTGAGTAGTAACTATATGGTTTACAGTATAATGACCTGGCGTTAGGCCAGAACGAGAGTATATTAGATTATGCGTGAACAATTACTGGACCTCGTCCAGAACGTAACTCCGCAATTTGTTTGAAAGAATTTGTGGAGATAAAATAATTGGAAGTTGGATTCTTACCGTTTCGGACTTGTGTAGTTGCAGTAATTACACATATGGGCTTGGGTTACGGTTTGACTTTTCTTTGGGAGGAATTTTATGATTTTTGTCTTGTCATCCTCCGCCTCAGATTCCATAGGGACCTCATTGTCCTCGTTATCCTCAAAATCATATACTGTAAGGTCTTGTTCACCCTCACCCTCATCGCCCTCTCCAGTGTCACCATCAGCGCCTCTACTGTCCTTATCTTCTGACTCTGGTTGCTGTACTATGAGTACATAGCTCACTTCACCAGGATTTGTATCGGACGGTACAATTGTTACAGTTTGATATGCATCCCCAGAGTTAATTACCATTTGACTGTTACCACTATTCGATACCTGGCCCTATAATAGTTAGATAACATAGAACTTATTCATGGCGTGTACGATGTTATCGGGCTTAAAGTACTTTTATGAGAGGTGAGAATATACATACAAGTGAGAGAAAGAAGACAAACAAAAATAATAAAGAAGAACCTGTTTGTTACTCACGTCGTCATCACCCTCGACATTGTCAAGTTCTTCTATTTCATGAAACTGGTCATCTTGATTTCCATCTCCATCGGTCTGACCGTCGTTGTCGTCCACTTCTTGAATTTGGACTTGTGTCATGACAGGTGTATCGTCGCTACTGGCCTGATAATAATATTGTCCTGTTTGGTCTACAAAATATGTACCACCTTCTTCTCCACCAGAAAGACCTTCCACTTGCTGTACTGTAGATAGAATAATTGCAAAAACTTTAATTAGTTTTCCATAAAATTTAAACAAACGTTACACAATTTATTTATACTTTAAAATATACCAACATTGTACATGTTGTAGCTGTTCGCCTTGGCCACCCTCAATTTCTTTGTTAAAACTTTCAAGGTACGTCTGTATTTCAGTTACGGACTCTTGTCCCTCCTCTAACTTTATAGTTGTTACATTTGCCGACATGGTCACACCATTAATTCACACAGACTCTTATATGGCTTATCTGAAAATTAAAAGAATTTGCATATTTTTCATATGGACTATTGTAAAGAGTTCGAAGGTACCAAATAACACTATAATTTAATTAAAGCATGTAATAGAAATTCAAAATTGCATTATTTCATTAAAAAAGTCTTTCCTGTTACATCATAGTCTCTCACTATCCAGTTATTCAATTTCAGTGAGCAATATCACTATCTAAAATAATCTTACAACATTACGATAAAGAATGGTATCACTCATGTTAGTGAGCTTGTAAGAAAAATCGAATTACAAACTTATTAAAAAAGTTATGATCATTTACACTCCAAGGAATTTATATCAAATACTCATAAATCATTAGAAAGATTACAGAAAACAATTTACTTCATAATTGTACATTCCACTAGTGGTTCTTAATACCAATTACATTGGATTTAACCCAATTTCAAAAGTGGATCACCAACAAATATAGAAATAAATAATGTAAATGCAGAAAAAAGTTTAGCATACTATACTAAAGATAACATATCAGGGTCACAGGGACAGCCATGCTTCTAACTAGGAATTCAATCAATTAGAAATCAGTACTTGGATTACCAACATAGGAAATATTCCGTGGACATACAGCGAACGTCATACAGAAAGGTAAAAAATGAAGTGTTTGATTTTTCCAGAATTACGCATCTATACGTATGTTAACGTATGTTTGCACAAGGGTATCTTGGAGTCGGTAAAACGTCGGAAAAATCAATACGATGAAAAAAATTCAAGACTTGGGAAAAAAGGTATCGCGTATCAACGAATATAAAGTAAATTCATGAAAGTGAAAATGACGATATCATTTAACGAGTGGGAGGTAAAATAGGTAGGTAGGGAAGAAAACTTCGCCGATGACGAAGATGATAGAGTCGGGGACGATATGAGTTGTGAAGTATGAAGGAGAGAG